GCCAAGTGCTTGGGCCCTGCACCCGCATGGGAGACCAGGAGGAAGCACCTGGCTCCTGGCTTCAGGTCAGCGCAGTGTGCTGGCCGTAGCAGCCATTTGGGGGGTGAACCAACGGAAGGAAGACCTTTCTCTCTCTCTCTCACTGTCTAACTCTGCCTGTCAATAAATAAATAAATAAATAAATGAATAAATAAAAATAAGAAAATAAAAAAAATAGATGACAGCCAACTAAAAAATGAACCTACTTATACAGGAAGCACAACATACATTAAACAAGATCAATAAGTTCACACACTGTCACACTGTAGCTGTACTGAAAAACACCAAGAGAGAAGATTTGAGCAGCAGTGGGAAACATCGGGCTACCAGAGTCACAGAATCATTTGGTCTGGCCCTGCCAGGGCAACCTCAGGCGGGACTTGAAATTCCATAAATCTATAGCAGACTCATTTTTAAGCTGATAATTTTAAATGGCCTGTGAATGCTATTGTAAAAATCCAAATGGCCCTTGGCAGAAAAAAGGTTCCCCAGCCCTGTACCAGAGGAAAAGAATATAATTCACCTACAGTCAATAATAATGATAGATTTCTCCACTTCAACAATAGAAACTAGAATCTTCAATGTGATAAAACTATTAACTTAGAATTTTATGTCCAGAGAAACTGACTTTTCAGAATGATGGTGAAATAAAAACATTTCAGAGAAACAAAATAGTTTGCCTCCAACTTACTTTTGCTTAAAGAAATTCTGCTTTAAGAAGAAGGAAAATAGTCCCAGAAAGGAATGGTGGACAAATTGGTGAGCATCTGAATAAAACAAGCACTGCAGGTTTAAAATGATAATGGTCATTAATGATGTCATTTGTGACTTTAAAAAAGATAACTGGACAACTAGGACAGTGGTTAAAATATTTTTAAAATTTAGACTTTGGGTTCATTTTCAACTGATGATCATGTATGTTAAAATTTTCAAGGATAAACTCCTGAAAGAAAAGAGTACATAATTTCCAATCCAATAAATAGGAAAAAAATGGAATTTAAAAAACTTAAAATAAAAAATTCATTGTCACTATTTAGCTTTGTGACGTCTTATATGCTATATAACTTTTGTAAGCCTTAGTTTCTTTTTTTTTTATTTAGTAAATATAAATTTCCAAAGTACAGTTTATGGATTACATTGGCTCCCCCCCCCCCATAATTTCCCTCCCACTTGCACCCCTCCCATCTCTCGCTCCCTCTCCCATTCCATTCACATCAAGATTCATTTTTGGGCCGGCGCCGCGGCTCACTAGGCTAATCCTCCACCTTGCGGCGCCAGCACACCGGGTTCTAGTCCCCGTTGGGGTGCTGGATTCTGTCCCAGTTGCCCCTCTTCCAGGCCAGCTCTCTGCTGTGGTCAGGGAGTGCAGTGGAGGATGGCCCAAGTACTTGGGCCCTACACCCCATGGGAGACCAGGATAAGTACCTGGCTCCTGCCATCGGATCAGTGCGGTGGGCCGGCCGCAGCGCGCAGGCTGCGGCGGCCATTGGAGGGTGAACCAACCACAAAGGAAGACCTTTCTCTCTCTCTCTCTCACTGTCCACTCTGCCTGTCAAAAAAAAAATTCATTTTCAATTATCTTTATATACAGAAGATCGATTCAGTATATATTAAGTAAAGATTTCATCAGTTTGCACCCACACAGAAACACAAAGTGTAAAAATACTGTTTCAGTACTAGTTATAGCATTACTTCACATTGGACAACACATTAAGGACAGATCCCACATGAGAAGTAAGTACACAGTGACTCCTGTTGTTGACTTAACAATTTGACATTCTTGTTTATGGCGTCAGTAATCTCCCTAGGCTCTAGTCATGAGTTGCCAAGGCTATGGAAGCCATTTGGGTTCACCGACTTTGATCTTATTCCGACAGGGACATAGTCAAAGTGGAAGTTCTCTCCTCCCTTCAGAGAAAGGTACCTCCTCCTTTGATGGCCCCGTTCTTTCCACTGGGATCTCACTCACAGAGATCTTTCATTTAGGTCTTTTTTTTTTTTTCCCCAGAGTGTCTTGGCTTTCCATGCCTAAAATACTCTCATGGGCTCTTCAGCCAGATCCAAATGCCTTAAGGGCTGATTCTGAGGTCAGAGTGCTATTTAGGACATCTGCCATTCTATGAGTCTGCTGTGTATCCTGCTTCCCATGTTGGATCGTTCTCTCCCTTTTTGATTCTATCAGTTAGTATTAGCAGACACTAGTCTTGTTTGTGTGATCCCTTTGACTCTTAGACCTATCAGTGTGATCAATTGTGAACTGAAGTTGATCACTTGGACTAGTGAGATGGCATTGGTACATGCCACCTTGATGGGATTGTATTGGAATCCCCTGGCACGTTTCTAACTCCACCATTTGGGGCAAATCTGATTGAGCATGTCCCAAATTGTACATCTCCTCCCTCTCTTATTCCCACTCTTATATTTAACAGGGATCACTTTTCAGTTAAAATTTAAACACCTAAGAATAATTGTGTGTTAATTACAGAGTTCAACCAATAGTACTAGAACAAAAAGAAATACTAAAATGGATAAAGTATTAAATTGTACATCAACAGAGAGGACAAGAGCTGATCAAGTCACTGTTTCTCATAGTGTCCATTTCACTTCAACAGGTTTCCCTTTGGTGCTCAGTTAGTTGTCGCCGATCAGGGAGAACATATGATATTTGTCCCTTTGGGACTGGCTTAATTCACTCAGCATAATGTTTTCCAGATTCCTCCATCTTGTTGCAAATGACCAGGTTTCATTGTTTTTGACTGCTGTATAGTATTCTATAGAGTACATGTCCCATAATTTCTTTATCCAGTCTACTGTTGATGGGCATTTGGGTTGGTTCCAGGTCTTAGCTATTGTGAATTGAGCTGCAATAAACATTAATGTGCAGACAGCTTTTTTGTTTGCCAATTTAATTTCCTTTGGGTAAATTCCAAGGAATGGTATTGTAAGCCTTAGTTTCATCACCTTTAACATGTCGTAGTACTAGAACCTCCTTTATAGGGTTGTTGTGAATATACAAAACTGTGTTAGAACCTCCCTGCCAACATCTCACCCCACTTTCCTCTTCAGAGAGAGAATACTAAAGCCAACACAATATAACCCAAGAGCAGTGAACAGTTCTGATAATTCTAATGGGTCTTCTTTGTAGTGATCACAACTCCTTGCTCCAAATCTTCAGGATTCACTATTACCTTTCACTTTTATTGAAAAGTTCAAAACATCAATACTTTTCACAGCCTTAATCCAACCAACTTGATACCATAATTTCTCTTTAAAACCTTGAGTCAGATCTATGCAAACATATCTGGTAATTCCCTCTTTGACACTTTCACTTAGAATGACCTTTTGGAGAACAGGTAGACTTTGGATGATTTCCTTCATCTGAAAACCCTCCTCCCCTCTGCCAAATCCAGCCTATTCTTTAAACCCTAGCTCAAGTCACATAAAGCTTCCTGACTACTATATCCCTCAAGTGATGTATGGCTTGAAAAACTGTCATCCAAACCAAACATTTTTATTTAAACATTTATTTATTTATTTGAAAGAGTTACAGAGAGGCAGAGACAGAAAGAGAGTGGTCTTCCATCGGCTGGTTCACTTCCCAAATGACCACAATGACTGAAGCTGGGCCTATCTGAAGCCAGGAGCCGGGAGCTTCTTCTAGGTCTCCCACATGAATGCAGGGGTCCAAGGATTTGGGCCATCTTCCACTGCTTTCCCAGGCACATTAGCAGGGAGCTGGATTGGAAGTAGAACAGCCGGGAATCGAACTGGTGCCTATATGGGATGCCGGTGCTGCAGATAGCAGCTTTACCCGCTATGCCGCATATCAGCGCCTGCACCCCCCCCAACCAAACTTTTAAGTCATTTATGCGTATCTCTTCTGTTTCATTTGACCTTTTACTTAAATTTTAAGTTATAGAATTTTGTTCAAGTTTACATGTTCTTACCAGCTAGATTTTTCAGCACCTTAAGACAAGTAGCTCTTTCTTACATGTCTTATGGAAAGGAAACCAACATTAAAGTGCATTCTGTATTCCAAACACTGTACTAAATGCTTTCTTGTATATTTTATCTCATTTAATCCTCACAATAAACTCATGAAAATAGATATTACTGCCACCATTGTACAGATGAGGACATTGCATTCTGAAAGATTAAGTAACACACCCCAGGCACTTAAACTAGTCAGTGGCAAAGTGGATTCATACAATACTTCCCATAAAAAGAACTTGCAAATAATACATACCTTGGAGGAATTAAAAAGCTTAAATGGTTTATACTGGGGCTGGTGCTGTGGTGTAGCAGGTAAAGCCACAACCTGCAGGGCCAGCATCCCTTATGGGTGCCAGTTTGAGTCCTGGTTGTTCCACTCCTGATCCAGCTCTCTGCTGTGGCCTGGGAGAGCAGTGGAAGATGACCCAAGTCTTTGGGCCCCTGCACTCATATAAGAGACCCAGAAGAAGCTCCTGGCTCCTGGCTTTGGATTGGTTCAGCTCTAGCTGTTGCAGCCATTTGGAGAGTGAACCAGCAGATGGAAGACCTCTCTCTCACTCTCTCTCTCTCTCTGCCTCTGCCTCTCTTAACTCTGACTTTCAAGTAAATAAATCTTTTTTAAAAATGGTTTATACTTTTTAGCTTACAATTTTATATGATTTATTTGTACCCCACTCAAATTTAGAGTGTTATGAAAACCAATTTCAAAAAAGCCAAGATTCTTATCAAAAATTAAAATTTGGCATGCCAGTGATTATCAGCCAAACCACAGGAAATTAAAGTTAAAAAAATCATTCTTTGGAGGGTTTAGATTAGGGGTGTTAAAGAAACATTATAGTCTCACTCTATATTTTCAGTTCATGTAGTGTGGAACGAATCATAACAAAGTGGCCCTTTCTTAGGGTGCTGGCTAGAAGTCAGTATCCCTTTTAGGACATTCTTTCTTGTCTGTTTTCCCCTTTTCCTAGGGTTACACATCTTTCTGGAATGACTGCATATCATCTGGCCTGCGAGGGGGCATCCTGATAGAGCTGGCAATGCGGGGTCGAATCTATCTGGAACCCCCCACCATGCGTAAGAAGCGACTGCTAGACAGAAAGGTACAGCATCCTCTGTGAGCATCCTCTTGTACAAGGGCGAATACCAATAGTACATTTGGGAAGAATCAAAAGATTTTAATAGTAATACAAGATGAATACCATTAACTCAGCATTCCCATTATCTAAACAGATTTAATTATCCTATAGTAAGGAGAAACTCAAATATTAATCTTAAAAGTTATAGGAAGCTCTCTCTTTTTTATGTAGGAAAATCAATTTGGGATGCTGTTGATTGTTTCTCCTTCTATACCTATAGCTATAACAGCATGAAATGGAGTATTATATAGGTGGAAGGAGTCATGTGGGTCAGGTCAGTCTTTGCTTAAACTTGGTTATTCTCTGATAGCTGTTCAGTTTCTCTCTTACATTTACTGCAGGTCCTCTCCACCATATGTACTATACCCCTGTATCTATTTTCTTACTAAGTTTTTCTGATCACACCTTCTTTACAAGTTCTCTGCTTCTCTAAGCACTCTGCTGATATCACCAGCTGCTTTTCAGTCTTCAGTTTACTTTGCTATTTTAACCTGTGTGGCATTTGACACTTTTGACCACCTCTACTTGAAACTTTGTCCATTCTTGTCCTTTGTTATATTCTCTGACTACGGCCTATTTTCTCTACTTCTCCATTCTTTAACATCCAAGTCTCAAGTTTGTATACCTTTGCTTGAATTTCTATCCTTTTGCAGCTGTTATTTGCCTTTAAGCTTCATCTATCACTTTCATGAGATAGACTCCTGAATTTCTAGTCATGTCTTCTTTTCCTGTCTCCAGAAATGTATCTAACTATGACTAGATATTTCAACTTGGCTAACCAATATCAGTTACAGTGCAGTTTAACAACTTTTTGACAAAATTGGCTTCCTTTCCTAACTTTTTCTACTTATTTGTTTGCCTATATTTTTTCCCTTATTCATTTGAGAGACAGAGATAGAGAGAGCTCATATCCACTAGTTCCCTCCCAAAATGCCCCCAATGGCCAGGCCTGAGCCTGGGCCGGAGACAGTTACTAAGAATCAGGAACGTAGACCAGATCTCCCAGGTGGGTGGCAGAAGCATGATTAATGGAGCCGTCACTGCTGCCTCCCAGGGTCTGCATTAGAGGGAAGCTGCAGTCCAGAACTGAACCTAGGCACTTTGATATAGGATTTGGGCATCTTCACTAGGGCAAATGCTGCTGCCTCCCACCTTTATTAATGGTTTCAAAGTTTGTTGCCCAAATTCAGGAAAGAATTACTATTGAACCTTTTCTCCATTATCATTTATATCCAGTTTGTCACCGCTGTCCATTTCAGAAGTTACTTTTGTCTTCCCACTGCCACCCCATACTGGATTTTAAACTTCCTGAAGACAAGGACAGCATATTATGCTTCTTTATATTTCCTGCAACAGTTTACCAGAAACGTTTTTATGACCTATTGAAAGATTGCAGCTTGAATGAAGTGAGTGAAGTCCTTTGTTTCTTCCTTCCTTGAAGGTATTGCTGAAGTCAGACAGCCCAACAGGTGACGTTTTACTAGATGAAACTCTCAAACACATCAAAGCAACTGAGCCCACAGAAACCGTCCAGACATGGATAGAGCTGCTCACTGGTAAGATGACTCAAAATGTTGCTCAAATTCCACACTTGTCATCTTTATCCTACCCTTAAAATTGGGGGAAAAGTGCAGGAATAGATATACAAATAGTCCACTAAGTATGCTAATAACAGAAAAAAACGTGGATAATCAATGCCTAAAGTATTCTAAAACTTCACCTTATCTTCTCTTCTTCTCAAGAAGCTTTTTTTTTTTTTAAGATTGATTTATTTATCTGAGAGGCAGAGTCAGAGAGAGAAGTTTTCTAGATTATGTTTCACTCCCCAAATGGCCACAACAGACAGGGCTGGGCCATGCCAAAGCCAGAAGCCAGGAGCTTCATCCAGGTCTCCCACATGGGAGGCAGGGGCCCAAGGACTTTGACCATCTTCTGCTACTTTCCCAGCACAGTAGCAAGGAGCTGGATCAGAAGTGGGGCAGCCAGAACTTGAACCAGCACCCATATGGGATGCCAATGTTGCAGGCTGCAGTTTTACTGGCTATGCCATAACACCAGCCCCTACTTTTTTTGTTTTTATTATAGCTATCCAAGTAGATGTGCAGTGGTATCTCATTGTGAGTTTCATTTACATTAATTATATGACTAATGATATCAAGTATCTTTTCATGTGCTTATTAGTCACTTGTATATCTTTTGGAGAAACGTCCAAGTCCCTTTCTTACTTTAAAAAAAAGAAAAAAGCCTTTATTTAATTGAAAGGCAGAGTTACAGAGAGAGATCTTCTATCCTTTGGTTTACTGCTCAAATGGTCAGGATGGCTGGGACTGGGCCAGGCCAAATCCAGGGGCCTAAACTCCATCCAAGTCTCCATGTGGGTGCAGAGGCCCTAGCAGTTAGGCCATCTGCCACTGCTTTCCCAGCTGCATTAGGAGGGAGCTGGACCAGAAGTGGAGCAGCTGACACTCGAATTGGGATTCAGGCATTCCAAGTGGTGATTTAACCTGCTGTACCACAATGCCTGCCCTAAATCCTTTTTCCATTTTTAAACTGGGGTGTTTTCTTGTTAGTTAGTTTTAGAACTCCTTTATAAATTCTGAATATTATTAATCTCTTATCAGATGTATGATTTGTCTTTTCACTCTTTTGATAGTGTCCTTTGAGGCACAAAATTTCTTAATTTTTATAAAGTCCAATTTATTTTTCTGTTGTTGCTTGCACTTTTCATGTCATATTCATGAAATTGTTGCTATGTCTAACATCTTGAAGATTTCCCCAATGTTTTCTTTTTTTTTTTTTTTTAAGATTATTTATTTCGAAGTCAGAGTTATACAGAGAGAGAAGGATAGGCAGAGAGAGAGAGGTCTTCCATCCACTGGTTCACTCCCCAATTGGCCGCAATGGCCAGAGCTGTGCCAATCTGAAGCCAAGAGTCAGGAGCGTCTTTTGGGTCTCCCATGCGGGTTGTAGGCGCCCAAGGACTTGAGCCATCTTTTTTTTTTTTTTTTTTTTTTTTGACAGGTAGAATTATAGACAGTGAGAGAGAGACAGAGAGAAAGGTCTTCCTTCTGTTGGTTCATTCCCCTAATGGCCGCTAGGGCCGGTGCAGCAATCCAAAGCCAGGAGCCAGATGCTTCCTCCCGGTCTCCTATGCAGGTGCAGGGACCCACGTACCTGGGCCATCCTCCATTGCCCTCCTGGGCCACAGCAGAGAGCTGGACTGGAAGAGGGGCAACCAAGTGAGCCACAGTGCCGGCCCAGACTTGAGCCATCTTCCACTGTTTTCCCAGGCCATGGCAGAGAGCTGGATCAGAAATGGAGCAGCCGGGACTTGAACCAACATCCATATGTGATGCCGGCACTGCAGGCAGTGACTTTACCCACTACGCCACAGCACCGGCCCCTAATGTTTTCTTCTAAGAATTTTATAGTTTTAATTCTTAAGTTTGGGTCATTGATATATTCTGAGTTAGTTCTTATATATGGCTCAAGGTAAAGGTCAAACTTTATTCTTTTGGATGTGGATATCCAGTTTTCCAGCATCGTTTGTTGAAAAGAGATTTCTTTTCATCATCAAATGATGTTAGCAACCTTGTCAAAAAACAACTGACCATATAGGTAAGGGTTTGTTTCTGGGCTCTTTTTCTATTGCATTAGTCAATATGTGTGTTCTAATGCCAGTAGCAAACTATTTTAATTATTCTATCTTTGTAGTAAGTCTGTGTCAAGAAATGTGAGTCTTCCAACTTTTTTCTTTTTCAAGATTGTTTTGGCTCTCCCAAGCTCTCTGCAATTCTATATGAATTTGAGGATTGACTCTTCCATTCGTGTGAAAAAGGCTGTTGGAATTGTGATAGGGACCGTGTTGAGCCTGTGGATCACATTGGGTATACTAACTATGTCAAGTCTCTCTATTCATTAAGACAGGATGTTTTTCCATTCTTTAGGCCTTTGTTCTTTTTTTTTTTTTTTGCTCTTTTCTTAATGTAAAGAAAAAAATTATTGAAGATCTGAGAAACTATTCCTAAAAGGTCAACTTTTCCAGAAAACTGTAGCTACACAATGCATTGCATCTATTGTGTTAAAACATGAATTAGATACAAATACAAAAACCTTGAAATAAGCTATCATTCTTCAACAATTTGGCACTAAGAATCAGAGCATCTTGTCATATAGCATTAACACGTATTATAAAAGTGAATAGTGTCAAAGGAATAGAATCATCAGCATTCAAAAGCAGCTTTGTCAGCTAAGCAATAAGTCTACAGCCTGCCCCTCTGTTGTCTTTCACTGAATGCAATGGTAATGATACAGTCAGGCAGATAGGATCAAATTGATTAGATTTGTGAGCTGGAGACCATGCCTTCGCCCTGCCCCTTTCATGATCTCATGTCCCTACCTGACCTCCCCTTTTGGAAGCAGGTAAAAGGTGTGGAACGCCCACTGCCTCTCTGCCTGTGCTAAGCTACCTGTGGCTGCTCCTAATCATATGCTTTGCTCCTTGTGGCTCCCAGCCTGCTCTCTGCCTGGTATGAACCCAGCTTATGCTTCTAGACTTCTTTCTCCCTTAAATAAAGTCCTCACTTTCCTATGTATTTCCTTTCACTGAATAAATGTTAGAAACTCACAATGTTGCCTGGATTATTTGAGCTGATACGCAGAATTCTTATCAGAATAGACAGCAAGAACTTTCAAAATATTAATATTAAAAATTATTAAAAAGTTCGACGATTTCAGTAACAATTTTGAAAATTTTAAAAAAAGGTAAGAAAAGAAGAAAAGGAGCTGCCACCCCTTTTATTTTCTCTCTTTAAAATCAGAAAGAGGGGGCTGGCGCCACGGCTCACTAGGCTAATCCTCTGCCTGCAGCGCTGGCACACCGGGTTCTAGTCCCGATTGGGGTGCTGGATTCTGTCCGGTTGCTCCTCTTCCAGTCCAGCTCTCTGCTATGGCCCAGGAAGGCAGTGAAGGATGGCCCAAGTGCTTGGGCCCTGCACCTGCATGGGAGACCAGGAGAAGCACCTGGCTCCTGGCTTCGGATCAGCGCAGTGCGCCGGCCGCAGCGGCCATTGCTGGGTGAACCAATGGAAAAGGAAGACCTTTCTCTCTGTCTCTCTCTCTCACTGTCCACTCTGCCTGTCAAAAAAAAAAAAAAAAAATCAGAAAGAGGGGCCAGTACTGTGGCATAGTGGGTAAAGCCACAGCCTGCAGTGCAGGCAACCCATATGGGTGCCAGCTCAAGTCCCGGCTGTTCCACTTGGTTTGTTGATGATTGGGAATTCATTACCAGAGAAAAACAGCTCTTTTATCTTCCTACCAAGAAGAAATGTGGATTCCATGCTAAGGATTCTGCAAATTACTTGAAATATGGAAACACAGATAATAAGGAGTATGCTGTTAATGGAGTTGTGGCAGGGATAAAAGAATACTTGGGGGTGGGAGGAGGAGCAGTGTTGTGGCATAGCTGTCCCCTGGGATACCAGTCCCATATGGGCACCAGTTCTAGTCCCTGCTGCTCCACTTCAAATCCAGCTCTCTGCTATGGCCTGGGAAAGCAGTAGAAGATGGCCCAAGTTCTTGGACCCCTGCACCCACGTGGGAGACCTGGAAGAAGCTCCTGGCTCCTGGTTTCAGATCGGCACAGCTCCACCCATTGCAGTCATCTGGGGAGTGGGCAGGCAGATGGAAGCTCTCTCTTTCTCTCTCTCTCTCTGCCTCTGTCTCTCTCATTCTCTCTGTAACTGTCTTTCAAATAAATGGATAAATCTTTGAAAAAAATTAGAATTAGCCAGCTGGACTCAGTTCAGGTGATCCCGATTTTGTTAGCAACATCTAAAGCATCATAATCAGCAGCCAGTGGAAGACGTGCCTGCCTCTCTCCGTCAGGTCTGATCAGGGTGTTGGCCTTGGCCACACCAGCGTCAGGGTTTCTTCACAGCTTGTTTGAGCCGGTGCTTGGTGGCCTTGACATCCACAGTGAACACGAGTGTGTCATTGTTTTCCATCTTCATGGCAGACTCAGTGCTCGGGAAACTTGATGATGGCAGAGTGGTCAAGCTTCTTTCTCCTGGGGGTGCTATTCTGGGACGTGGGTGATGTGCGGATCTTCTTTTTTTTGTGGTTGTGGAAGCGTTTCAGCATTGTCTTCTTGGCCTTCAAAGCCTTTGCTTTGGCTTCGGCTTCAGGAGGGGCAGGAGCTTCCTTGTTCACCTTCAGCAACGTGTTGGGGACAGTCAGGGGACAGCTTTACCCAGCTATGCCACAACACTGCCCCCCCCCCCATATTCTTTTATCCCTGCCACAACTTGATTAACAGCATTCTCCTTATTATCTTTGTTTCCAGATTTCAAGTAATTTGCATAATCCTTTAGAATGGAATCCACATTTCTTCTTGGCTGGAAGATAAAAGAGCTGTTTTTCTCTGGTAATGAAGTCCCAGTCATAAACAAACCATGGTTTTAGCTCTTCAGGAATCTTTAACTTCCACTCTGTTTATGAATGTTTCTTCATTTTTTTTTTAAGATTTATTTATTTATTTGAAAGGCAGAGTTACAGA